AGGGTTTATAGGGCTCAGGGTTTAGATTTTAGAGTTTGCATTTAGGATTAACGGCCTGAACTCGGGTTTAATTAGGGTTAAGGGGTGTTTAGGGTGGTTGAGTCGAGGTCGCCTGTCATAGTCGGCCTGAGTAGGTTGTTCTCATACGGTGCTACCAATGGACGGATGTTTCTTTCTGCAGTTTTCCACTTGGTTTGGGGAGTTGACCGGGGTGGCGTGTAACACGTGGGTAGGATTTTGACGGCTACGAAGTGATGATGTTGCATCTGTTGCGCCGCACTCACTGCGCCGATCTAATTATTGGAGACAGAGTGTACTCACAAAGCCGGCGACCTCACTCCATAGCCTTTTTCCAGATGTCGAGCCAGCTGTAAATGGGAGTTTCCAAAAATTAGGGTACCTTATTTTGGGGTCCTTATAATAAGGATCCTATTATTTAGGGTACTATATTAGGGTCCCCTATTTTCGGAAATCCCCAAATAGGTCTTGCGTCCTCTGTGGCTTCTGACCCCACAGACCATACCACAGATCGTCCGGGAGCACTGGTGTGCGTTTGGGCAGAATTTAGGGTTTAGGGTTTAGGGTTTAGTGTGCGTTTGGGCAGAACATTCTCATCCAAAGCAACTATAACCTGCTTACCATGGGCATCGGTATCTTGCGTAATAGTCTCCCTGTGCCACATCTCCGAAAATCCTATGCTTCTTGATGGTTAAGCCTATATCACTCTAGTGACTGGTTCTTGAATATTCGGCCTGAAGCCGTCCACAACTTCTGCCTTCCCGACCCTAAGCCCTCTCTGAAGCCCGAGGTTGTGTGGAATGGACCTGCCGGCGTCTTTGAGTTCGACAACTTCTCCAAGGGTACCAAGGCGATCCGCAGCACGCGTTCCTGAATCTAGGCCCAAGAAGCCGAATGAACGTTCATCACACCCACACACGCACACATACGACAGAAACAGCCCTAAACCCCAAGCCCTTAAGTCCACATCGTATATTGAACCCGAAACTTCTAGGCTGGCCTGGGTCTTACACTCGAACTAAGACTGATCGATTATGGTTTTAAGCTTCGGGTTTTAATGGCCTAGGGCTCTTGGGGTGTGCTTCGTTTTTTTTTATAGGGCTTGCGGTTGACAGTGTTCAGCGCTCGAGGAGGACCCCTGTTTTTCTCGCCGCGGCTTGGCTTGACTTGGCTTTGCTCGGGGTTTAGGGTTTAGGGTTTTAGGGTTTAGGGCTTAGCTAAACCCTAAACCCTAAACCCTAAACCCTAAACCGTTTCCCCAGGCTTCGTCGGTGCAGCATGGCCTGGCCTCTGCTGCAAGCGGGATCAGCGGTAAATCGGTGAATTCCGACGAGGAAAACAAGGCACCACAGGGGCAGCCAAGAAGGCCACGCAAAGCCAAGCCAGAGGCGAACCAAAGATACCGTTCGTAGCATGGGCCGGTGCAGTGAAGACCAATGATACGCCCCAGCTGCTCTGCTGGGGTATTGAAACAAAATCTCTAAACTAAACTGCTCTGTACCTGCCCAAGCATGCAGCTTTATGTACCTTCATTTCTTTCTCCTTTCCGCGAGTCATCGACTCACAGTTGATCCACTTTTTGTTTGCTTTCGGCGTAGATTTCGTTTGCCTCATCTTCCAACGCCGGCTTCCGGGCGATCTTCGGACAAGAGGGTTCAAAGCCTAGGGTTTCGGTTTGAGAATTTTGGGATGCAAAGTCTCAGCTCAAGGTAAGCAGTATGCACCCTAACCCCTAAACCCTAAACCCTACACCGAATTGTAAAGTTAGCGACGGTGAAGCGTCGCCAGTAGCGTTGGAATTTTCCGTAGACAGGTCGTGAGAGCAGTAAGCACTTGAACAAGTTTTGTGATTTGGGGCCCAGGGTTGAGGGGTTTACGATTTCGGACATAAGTTATATAGCCATCAACCAAAACTCAACCAAGAATGGGGTTTCTCGACTATAGAGGCACCGACACCGACACGGGGTGATTCTGAATGCGCAGTGTATGTGCATTCTTTCCAAAACCAGGACGGACAGCACAATTGTCGAAAGTCCTTGCGGCTTTCAGGTTGCAGGTTTTAAGATTCTGTGCTTGGGGGCTTTGGGTCCCTAAACCCTAGACCCTAAACCCTAAACCCATGGGTCTTAGTATTCAGACGTACAGCCTTGCTCAGATAGCCATCCCTGCCCTAAGAGACCCAAGGGCTCGACCTATCCTTTCGTTATGATCCTTACATGGGAGTTTCCGAAAATAG